GAATGAAAAGAGTGTTGGTTAACACTTGATTTTTTTGCCGTTTCTTCATGGTTCTGACGGTTGATTTTTCATGTTTGCTCGACGAGAATTTTTGGCTGATTTTTCTGATTTTTTTCAGTTTTTTTCATGATTTTTTTCGTTTTTTTCGATTTTTTTTCAATTTTTCTTGCATATTTTTCGGATCTCATTAAGTGGATAATCCTGAGCTTTTGAGAGGGTTTCGAACTTTCTAGCATTCAAACACAAGACAGGCGCTTTACCATTCTGACATGAGAACAAATTGATAAGAGAATTGAAAACGCATTTAAGTGTAGAGAATTTGTTATCAGTTGGAGTGAAAAGTGACTGTTTTGAGAGGTTGAAAAAAAGTGGGACAAAAGTGGGAAAGTGAGTGGGGGTGAACTCAGTTCACCAAAATCTGAGAGTGTGAAAATCGTGGATTTTGCTAAGAATATTATATGAAAAAAAATAATTAGGGCAAAAAACTTGAAAAAACAGCAAAATAAAAATTTGAAAAAAGTGGAACAAAAGCTGCACCAGAAAGGACAATTCCCTACTACTGAGGTTCACAGGAGCGCGCTGACTGATGGCATCGTTCGGAGTTGTGTCCCTGTGAATGCTATTTGAATGTGATTTTTAAAAACAAAATGTTACCGTTTCCCATGGTTTACAAACATCAATTTTTCGTGGCCATTTCATTAGTCTTTCTTCGAATGGATACCTTAAAGGTGGTGTGCGGTGAAAAATTGGCTCTTTATGACAAGGGGGGGGGGGCGATGAGAAAAGGGGGCCCAAGTCAAAGGGGGGGCCCAAGTGGAAAAATGTGGACTAAGTTAAGATTTACCAATTTTTTCAAGTTTTTCGAATGTTTCTATAAAAATTTCGTACTTTGCGCATGTTTCCACAATAATTTGTAACTTCAAAAAATTTCAGTTTAGGCCGGTTTTTTGCATAAACAACACTATTTTTTTACATTGTAACTGTGTAATTTGAAGTTATTCAGCTAGTTCCAGATTTTTTCAGGCTTAGTAACAAAAAAATAGGCAAAAAATATGCAAAAAATGAACATAAACTGAAATGTTCAAAAAATTTTGAAAGTGTTCAAAGTTCGAAATTTTAATGGAAACGGTCACAAACTTGAAAAAATCGGTAAATATCAACTCAGGCATAATTTTTCCACTTGGGCCCCCCTTTTTGATATGGGCCCCCCTTTTCTCATGGGCCCCCCTTTTCGCTTGGGCCCCCCTTTTCTCATGGGCCCCCACCCCTTGTCATAAAGAGCCGAAAAATTTTATTGCTTTATTTTGTGCAGAATTCCATGCAGGTCCCCATAAAAATAGCGAAAAAATTCAAAAAAAATTCCTTCATTGAGAAAAACGGCATCGGAAAGTCAAAGTGGGAACCGGTGGCCTAGCGGCCAGGTGTGAGTTTTCTAGGCCAACTTCCGGTAAAAGCGCGCGAAATTCGAAT